TCGTACCAACGTCCTCGACCCGATCGCGGAGGTGGCGTCCACGATCGCGTATGGACATGAAACACGGTCCACCTGGCGCGGCGAGAGAATTCCTGCTCACCTACTAACACACACTGCAACGGCATCACGCGAGAGAACCTCAACTAAAATCCACAACAATGAGAAATCGGTCCTGATAATCCTTTGATTCGATTTCCAAACTTGGCCTTGGAAAATGAAAAGCAGTAGAGGATCTGTTTACGCTAGTTTCTGAATCGGTTTGAGATCGATAGATGTGTATTCTCTGTAGCGGAGTTGGCCGATCGAGGCGAACGAAACGAGCAAAAGTGCAAGAAGGCTGGTTTTTCTTGCGTACACCAGGTGGTGGAGGGAGAGACGTCGAAGAGCCGTGAAGTGGGATAACGTAATGACCTCCACCTCCGTGTTTCTAACTATTTTCGATACATTCGTCTCGGCTAACTTTAGCGTTTTCGTTAGTCCAGTCTTTGACTTTGCGAGCCCCTCAGTCTCCACCGGGCGTTCGCTCAATCACGCGCGGCTCTCCATTCTCACTTCCTGCCTGTGAAAACCGCCTGCGTGCGTGCGTGCGTGCCCTCTCATCTGTGTGGTGCTGGCGTGTGTATATCGATTTAATCGCTTCCGCCGCTGTCACGGCAGTGTAGGCACCGCATTTAAAATTCCAGAGCCGATCGCCTATTCAAAATGAAAACGAGTTCGAACGGAACGACACTCGACATGATCCAATAGCGATTGAAGAGATGCGCGACGTGGACAGAGAAGAAGCATGCGCGTAAGTTGGAAATTTAGTCGAGTCGACGCGGGCTACTCACGATTTTCACTTCTTCCCTTTCTTTTTTAAACGTGACGATCGTTCACGCTTTCCCAGAGTGGCACTAACTAAGATAGACGATTTTCTGTTTTTCGCACGACGCAAAACGAGCCATTTATATATAAGCCGACTGTTTCGAAGATGGCAACGCAAAATTAACTTGGTGGAATATACTTCACTGGAATACATGCTACATAGTACGTGGGAATTATTTTAGAAGTCTGCCGCTCAACCTGTCGGACGTTCAATGGGAGTGCATTCCGACGATTCTTGGACGTCGTTTCGCGATCCAACCCACCTTCAATTCCTTCGGTCTTTCTAATTTTTCTTTTCTTTCCCCCTCCACTCCTCGCCTCAATCTTTGGGAAGTTGACGAGCTAGAAAAAATGAAATGGAACATCAAAGGAACGAGTTGCTGCCGGAGATCCGTCGCCTTTGCCGGCTTTTAACCCTGGCCGCTCTTTTCTCGCTGTGCAAAAAGGATTGAAGTCGCGTTGATTGAACACTTTTCAGACGCCTCCGCCGGGGTAACAGGTGGTCGGGGACTTCCTTTGAATCGGGGGGGTACTACTAGGAATCAGTAGCCCTCGAGTTGTCAAATTCGAGATATGAAAACACAGCTACCTTTAAGTTTACATCTGTCAGGTGTCGTGAATAATAATGGCTGGATAATTTGTCAAAACAAATTTTTCTTCGCGAATTTTTCGTAACGATTGGAAGTATAAAAATTTGGAAGATCCGGGAGCCTTCGTCGCGTTTTTTTTTTTTTTTTTTTTTTTTTTTTTTTTTTTTTTTTTTTT